TTGGTTTAATATAACTTATGCAATGATTTCTTTCCCATTCTTTCTAATTTCCCTCCCTACTTTCTCTATTAGGATTTTATACATGGGCACTGTGCGGTACTCGTAAGATTATTTTTCCCAAGTATGACGGCCCGCAGCGAAATACCGTAGAGTAGTCCGTACCGAGACCTGCCCTTCCCCGCAAGTAACTAACCGGTTGGCTATGCCAGACCATCTCACACCCACCTCGTATTTTCTGTTCTCCAAGAACAACATATAATTCTCCCCAACCACACCTACCACCGAGCACAGCACGATACACATACGGCACTTACCACCGGATGAGTCGGACCAACTATCCACTTCTGCACACAACCAGCCTGCCCGTTGTCGATCCCAATGTGCGTTCTCAGCCCCAGCGCTGCACACTCCTAACATGCACTTTCCGTCTCCTTCGGTCACACGAGAGAAGGAAAAAAAGATCTGCGGAGCGCACATGGGAGGAAAGGTACGCGGAAAGTTTCCCGGCGAGTGGGTAGGCGTACTGTGACCTGACTGCAGTCGGTGTGGGATGATATTGTGACGGGGGACTAGGCCCGTGACCTGCACTACCGTACCCGTAGGGTGCGGTACCGGTTCCACAGAGACGTTGCCAGTCCACCGCATAGAAAGGTCTAGAGCTTATCAAGGAAGGAGCAACACTTCCTCCACCGCCTCCCTAGTGAACATGGGCGCAGTAGAGTGCGCTGTGGTACAATACTGACTCCCGAGGCCCATCAAATATCTATCCAAACTCCTATTCGCAAGTTCTGTGCTGTACTCCTGAAGTTTTATCTCACCCCTCCTAGTAATGTGCCGTAGTGAGCTAATCCACCGCGGATTTTCCCTCCCGATCGAGCACCGCCTTGGGAGAAGCCCTTGCAATCACTCCTGCTTGTCGCCATCTACTTTAGCATCCTAGTAACTGGGGCATTGACTTATCTTTCCCCCTCCCCCTCTTCCTCCTTTGGACCGATACTCCTTCCGGTTGAGCTTAGACACTGCCGTTCCCTGGCCCGTCCGTTGGGTCAATAATCGAGCCGGCGTTCCGGAAAGAAAAAAAAACCCCAATTCGACAGTGTTAGAAAACTCTGGTGGTTTTATCGCTGGTGGGCTAACAGGTCCGGGGAAGTTAAACCCATATCCGCTCATACACAGCCGAAATCACGGGGCTGGGATGTTGTGCACGGGGGGGGGGGGGGCATATCTGGTCTGGACGTGCTATCATAAGTCTGCCTGCCAGTGAGTATTTCATAAAACACTGTGGGATGAATGGGTTGTATGTTGGTATCATATATCTACGCATCGGATTACTCGATTGCGACATCCACCGTTACGACATTATACTATCTATTTCGTGAGGATAAGTAGGAAAGTCGCCAATAAACACCACTAGCGGTTTATAAACATAATAAACCTGTGGTAGACTCTGGATGCACCCCCAGGAGTGTTATGCTCAACCTCTATTATCCACCCTTCCGGTATGATAAAATACTCTACCGGTATCGGGGCAAATTGAATGGAGTCTCGGAAAGTGTGGAAGAGCCGCACTTGGACATGCCAATATGATATGCGGACGGCATTTCCATCTCTGTTTTCGGGGGAGTTCCTGTCTATGACATAAGGCCCTGTATCGAACTAGTACTATACTATTATATATAAATAATCTGATTGATACAGGAGAGGATTTGAAAATTTACGGATGGAGGAAGAGGTGGGATCTATGAGCGTTTTCTATCCGGGAGGTTCCTTTCCTTTCCTCATACCATGAGACCTATAATAACGGGCGCCCATAACGACGGACATGACAGAACTATCAGCACTGGGAAAGAGCGATAAATCGACCCTCAGAAGAAAAGGCACGATAGAATTAAAATAATAATACATATAAACGGTTTTTAAAAAAAGGAACATCAATAATACCGCTCGGCCGGAATACCAGCCTGAATGAATCCTTTCCAAAACGCTATAACTTTATAATAAAGTATAGTTGATAAACCGTCCTCACTTACCGCGCCCCTGATACCCAGAAGCAATTCATCTTTTTTCTGCCCTCAGTATTAGTTATGAAAAGGCTTATAATTCAACTCGGTCTTTTCGTGTATTATATCGGGTTAGTCTCGTGTATCATAGTCAAGTTAGATGTGCTTTTGGCAATATTTCTTTTTCAAGGTATCATACAAGAGTCGGAGTTACATATGGTTTCGCACCCTATGTGGGTCGCGCATGGGCAGTTATGATATGCTGCTTGTTTTTGTATGATAAAGAGCGCCATGGTTGCTTTCCTGTCATTATAGTTTGAGGAGTGTTTCAGGGGTTTGGTTAAAAAATAATAAGAAAAGTTATGATATCGTACTCGATTCTAACAACGTGCTGTGCTGTACTAGTGTAGTAACTTATGGTGGAACTGGTCAAAAAGTGTGGTCTGGCATCTACAGCAATAACCCATCCAATCCGACATTTTCTTCCTTCGTAGGACTGTCGACCCCAACGCCCCGTGGGGAAGAGGTATTATATCGTATCCCTAGCTAGCAAGCGTGGCGGAACGAGAGAAGGCAAAAAAAGGAATCGCCCGACATCCCCCCAATCCTGGTCGAGGATGCCCAACGAAAGCTTCCTATACATCATACCGGATCGCAACCCCGCCAGGAGCTGCGCGTCAAGTTATCGGGCCGGAGGATCAAATCACACAGAAAAGAGTTTACATTAGTCACTCTTATACCGCGGGCGAAATGGAACGAACGGTTCCTGAAGGATCAGAAAAGGAAATGAGAATGAAAATGAAAATAAAAATAAAAGTGAAAAAACAAAAACCCCCACCGGGTAGAGGAGTGCTGTACCAAATCTATGACCAAAACGTCAAAAACCGAAAGATGCGCCAACATAAGCCATGATTCTTCACACCGCGTAAACAAGCCGACGGAAACCTCTGCGCTTCTGCTACTGGAGTTACCGAAGCCAATAGAGGGCTTATATACGGTATAATAAACGTTGCTGCGAAATGCCATCCTCGCCTTCTGTCGTATTAGGTTTCGCCATCGTGAGCGGGAGGGATTCCTGATTGGAAAGCTTTTGCCAGAGGTAGATTCTCGGTTTGTATCGGTAATTTTGCTCTCTGCCATTTTTTCCCGTGCTACCGCTACAGTTACAAGTAGGCTACAGTACCGTCCGGTACATGTATTTCCTCTAGGGAACTGAAGCTATCTTCTCGAGTGGTTTACGAAAGGATCAAAAAATCGGTTTCATTCCCACCTTCAGCTTTTACAGTCTCTCCGTTTTGTTTTTGGGCTTTCTGTTCATGGCCGCTACCACGCCCCCCTTCCCCTCACATATCACCGCGGATATAATATGTATTATACCAAACATCCGAAACGGACATGGTCTCCAATCACATCACATCACTCGCTCCCTGCCACTAATTTCTTCAAAGCCTCGTGAAAATCGGAGGGGACCTGCTGGTGCTCGTTGCCATCCCCCTGATTTTCGGGAAAGGAAAGCTTCTGGAGGTCTCTTGAAACTTCACTGGAGGTTTAATCATTCGCTTCCCACAAGTCTGCAAACGTAAGTTATAGCCGAATCTGGCTGGTTAAAATGCGCTAGCTAGGTGTATGGCTTCACCGCCTAAGGCAGCGGAGGGGGGGGGGGTTGTTGGCGGAGGAGCAGGCGAAAAGAGGGTTCCAACAGTATATATCGCTAGCCATCTTGCTCTAGAAATCGCAGATCGGCACTTAGCAACAAGTTACCAACATCATCGAGTATGAAACTTTCTAGATGAACGTAGTAAAGGACCTGCTCCACTAGCCGCCATATCCGAACCCTCGATGGTGAGGTGAGGCAATGACAAGCCACGCGGTATTGGCGGGGCTTTCTTTTAAATCTTGGGGTGGAGTGCAGACTCGAGAAAATTGTCTCCGAAAATCCGGCAAGGGAAGCGCACACCTCTGCTCGGTGTGAGTTATCTGCTGGGGTAGCAGCTAGTCCCTCTTCGCCATGTCTATCAGCTTCCGGAGGTCGCCAATATCTCCCACTCTCTCGAACCCTCTATAGAATACGCTCCCGGGGGGTAGAAGCCCATCGTTGTGGCTCTATTTGTGAGAAGAAAAAAAAGGGCTCTCACTATTTACTCATGTATGCCTGCAGCCATTTGTAAACTACCGATGCCACCCGGACCTCCCCCTTTCAAACCTTGTGACCAACATGGAGCCCCAGGTATTTTGCACATCCGCCCGAGGTGGATTCCCTAGAAGACACGAACCCACCGCCTTTTCCACCTGAACGGTGGCTTGCGTGACACTTGTTGATATATGATGCTCTTGCTGAGATAAGATCCAAAAAAAGCTGGAATCAAACCTAGCGGAACTCGGGACTATCGTGGCTGGTAAAACACCTAGTCTTCCCGATACTTTATCTTTAAGGCCCTATTCTCGAATTCGAGAACGTAAAATCCTTCCATAAGAATAGCTTTACGCCCGGCGCCCCCGCCCCTTGCTATGCAGTTAATCCGCTTGACTCAATATTTTCGGTTGCCATGCTACCGTGAATGATATGACTGACTCGAGGGGGGAGGGGAGGGGGAGGGAATCCTGGTAACGCAATTGATTTCTGCTAACTGAGGGCTTAATTGGGTTGATATAGAGGATGGAACACCTCCCAGCGCAGGAACATCTACGGCGGTGTAGCCAACATAAGGGACTAACTCCACCCACCGTTAGCCAAGTTCCTAGCGGTGAGAGAGAAATATCGGGAGGGTATTGAACAATACCGCCAAATAGCCCGAAAGAGGTCTGATGGACGCGCCTCTATTATCACGCCGGCGCTAGAATCTGTATCATTAGGGAGAAATTCCCTCTGGCCCTCTTGTAAATACTGCGGTATTGCCTTCATTGGATCCTCTTTGGACGAAAAGTCTTTAGGCGCGGTGTTTGCGACCGGGTTTGGAGCGGTGTTTGCAGGCGCTCGTACTACAACTAGTAGTGTCACAGGGTCTCTAGAATGAACCTCTCGCGTACAGCCCGGATCGAGAAAAATGGCCCAATTTTGGTATGATGGTGCGTGGTGGTATATAGTACTTTTAACAAACGCTTCCAAAAACCCTACAAATCAAAGCCCTAGACATCCTTATCATACTGAGATCAACCCTCCCGGGTATAATAGCTCATCCGCTCCCAAGAAAGCGGCTCGGGCAAAATACAATCCCCGATTACATTCCAAAAGGATTTATCCCGTCAGACCAAATACTACGCTAATAATGTCAATGGCCAGCCCGCAGGTCTTTCTGGGGGAGGAAACAAACAAGTAGGAAAGGACCCACTGCAGGAAGGGGAAAGGAAACCTAGTACGCCCAAGAGAGGTGAAAGCAAAGAAAAAGGGAAGAGAATCCCAGGGCTTAGCCACTCTAAAATGCAGGTAAAATATAATGTGAAGAAACCTGAGGCTATCATACATAACTATGCAGACATGAAAACCATTCCTCACCCAATAACCTCAGCTCCGCGAGGAGCTCCTATCACAGTGATGAAAGCCAACTAACCAAAAAACACTAGTCCTACTACAAGGAATAAAAAACTTTTCATGCCTCCACCCGCGGGCCTCTCCCACCATTTACTATTTAGCCCGATTTGTACCAGATTAGTAACCAGCCCAAAGCACTTGCTCCCCAGGCAACTGACAACATTCAGAACTCATAAACAACCCCACACTAAACATCGATATCGAAAGTCAGCCCGACAAACAAAGCAAGCTTCTTCTTCTTCATAGCGATCGTTCCATCGATCGGTATTCCGTACAAGGAAAGAAGAGTATTCAGGCCGGTCGCTAGGGATAGGACCCTGGGTCAATTCGAAACTCTCCTACTATCTTTCAGGGAACGGAAAAGGGCACATACTGTTCAACCTCCTAATATCTCCCACCACTTTCGGAAATGATGCCGGAATACTATTCTCCAAATCATACAACGGTACAAGTGAGGTGGTATGGTCCTTGACTCCACCATTTGTGACCCTTGCGTAGTCATTATGGTCACTAGAGAGCTCCCATACTTAGCTCGGCTCCCTTTAGAAAGGGGAGAAAAAGAGTGCAAAAGAAATCCCATCAACTTACCGGCTTCTAATCCTCTCAATTATTTCTTCGCATCTCTTCTCTAATTTCGCAATGTTAGAGCTCAATGCTTCGATAGTTTTGATTATCTCGCGATCCCCGGGGAGTCTGTCAGTGCAGTGCTGGACGGTTTGGATACAAGCGAGGGTTGGATCGTTGTATTCGATGGGAGCCGGGGGAGGTTCTGGATGACTAGCTGGAGGCCGAGCATCAGGAGGAGGACCGCCCGGAGAAGAACCTCCTCCATTGCACACAGGAGGTGGCGGTGGGCCCCCAGGATTGTGTCCTGGAGAACTGACGGGAGCAGGAGTTGGAGGAGTCCCTGGGGGTGTTGGTGTGCCCCCCGGACCGGAATCTGGTGAATAGGTTGGACTGGTAACTGGGGAGCTGGATGGAGGAGGAGCTTGGGGAGAAGCTTGAGAAGGGGCTACGACTGGAGTTCTTGATTCCCTGGCGGTGCTCACTTTAGTGTCTCCCGATATAGAGGCAGAAGCCCCTTGTGCCGGTTTGATAGGGTCGGGTGCGAACTTTCCTACCCAGCTCTCTGAATGGAAATATGGGCCACTCATCATCTGAGTTCTGTACCGGAGGAGGTGAGGAGGTGATGGGTGAAAGATGCAGCTGATGGGGGGTAAGGATGATGGAACAGATGGACGGGTTACTACACTATAAAAGGTAGAGTCGTAGGAGGGTTTGAGGGGTATGTGGCATTATCTTCCATAGCAACGCGAGCAATGAAGTATGTTCTCGGGTTAGCCTTCATGTGAAGTCACTCGGTAAGAGATTGGAAAATCCCCCAGCCAAGACAAATGATTGCCGATATCATACAAATACGGCCATCATTTGAATATGCCACAGTAATCCTGAGCGGTGAAGCCCGCACTGTACCCGATCATAGCGCAAATATACCTCCGGCCTAACCAGCAACATAGGCAGTAGACAGAATACCCCCAATATCCAACCAGAAACACATCTCCCAATGACCGAACAGGGAGAAAAGGGGGGAAAGAAAAAGAGATGACACCTGTCAAAAAAGAGATGACATCTGTCAAAAACCTACCTCCCAAGCGCGACCAATGGAGACCAAGACCACCGAAATACCCGTAGATATCATGAGTATACCCAACCCCAAACTCCCAAACAAAGTGCAAGGGTAAATCACGAATTCGTGGTGCGGAGCAGGGGTACCGGTAGACATACTCCCTCGTGAAGGCAGTTTTGGAACACTGGAAAAAGTAAATTTGTGTTCCCCAACCTAGAGTCTTGCACTATGGCACAACTGGCTTTGGAATAAGGGATGAGAAAGGCGAAAGTGAAAGATTGATAACTGGTAATAGTTAGCTACGATCGTGGTATGTTTGGATCTTTAATTTCTGCTCTGCAGGGTTCAGTTACACCGCGTTGCAGGAAGTTATGGTAGACATCTCTCAAACGCTGTACTCGAGTACCACTGCTATAATATCTAACCCCTGCAGCGGGCCAAAGCTGCGGTACGGTAGACTACGCGCTGAGCATGCCGGTGTGGTACTCGAGTACTCGGGATGTGCTCCCGCCATAAGCAAGGAGGGACCCACCAAGCAAAAATCGCTCCCACTTCACCCCCGCCCCAGCGATACCGATACCGAAACCGCCACCCCCTCGGCAAAAGCTTATCCGGCCAAGCCCCCTCTCTCACCCCACCGGTCGGGGCAGCCACAATACCGGTACCACACTCTCGGACCTGCCCGGGAACCGCTTGGCCCCCTTGCTCCGGCCCGAGCCCGTAGGATCTACAGACTATTGTAGGATAGCCAATTCGATCGCCCCTACCGTACTCGCACAGTACCGTACCAGAACCGTGATATAAGTATAGTACCGGTCCTCGTGCGAGCGCTGTGCAAGGAACAAAGCTTATCATGCCGACCATAGTCAAAGTACCGAGCGCCGACAAGCCGGCCATGGCCGCGGTGGCGCCATACCGGACATGTGAACATTTCGTGACCGGGAGCATGTGCATGCCGACGGCCGCAAGGGGGCTCACTGGGTATCCCTCTGAGCGTGGCGGCGCATCACACATTGTGCCCGTTTGGGAGTCCGTTTGCATAGGTGTTTTCAGAGATTTCCGATGCCTGGGCACCCTGCGGTGGAGGGGAATGTTCTTGGGGACTGTACGAGTACCCGGTACTAGTACAGGAATTCTCAATGGGATAGTTAACTTGGGCGATCGAGATGATTCGAGTTAGTTGAGCTCAATACTGTTTTCCCGTTGACACAAGCGGAACCTCATCCGGACTGCACTTTTATGCACAGTAAAGTACCCTTATGATACATGTCCCATCGTCACTTTATACCCCTCTCACCTCCCTTGCAAGTCCCAATCCGGAACCCCCCAAGGCCCTCAAACCGAGCTCTCGCAAGTTCCCTCTTCCCCCGCATTTGGTTAGGGCGAACATCACACGGAAATCTTCCGAAACACAGTATAAGGACCCCCGCTCGCACCTCTGCATCACCACAACCAAGTATCCCCAACGAATTCTCCAAAATGGCCGCCCCTCCAACCATCACCACCAAAGACCTGACCGGGAAATTCTTCATGGTCCTCCTCCCTCCCCTCCCCATTACCGCTCCAAACTGACTCCAGCAAATCAGAACAAAACACTCTCCGATGACATTGACGACGTCCTTGTGGAGCAAGGCATAGGCTGGCTAACCCGCAGGATCATCTCCATCGCGACCGTAACGCTCGACATAAAGCATTGCGTCGAGGAAGGCGCCGAGCACATCGACATCGAGCAGACCGCGACCGGCGGTATTAAGGGGACCACCGAGAACCGGGTCCTTGACTGGAAGTGAGTGCGCCACGTGGGAGCTGCGGGAACGTGCTGATGTAGGGGGAGTGCGTAGGGAGAGGCCGCATGAAGACCACCTCTTCGGTAAAGTCACTGGACAGAGCCGCAGGACTAAGCTTGAGGATGTGCAGGATGAGTTCTTGAAGGCGGGTTGGTTGGATGAGGCGCGGGAGGATGGGCTTATCGAGTCTTATGTTGTTAGTGTTGATAACGGGTGGAATGCGCGTCAGGTTTGTCCCTCCCACCCTCATGGCTTGTGGGGACTTTGCTTGTTAAGGTAGGACTAATTGTGAAATTTTATGGTTGCAGATTTGGGGGTTCCGAGAGTTTGATGGGAAGAGGCATTATTCTCGCAATCTTAGGTTTGAGAAGGGTGAGAAGACGTTGCTCAAGAAGCTGGTTTATGATTACTTTGAGTAGATCGGGGGAGGCACCGTCTCCTTTTCTTTGCTACTACATTTCTGGGGGCTAGATCTTCTAGTTTGGTACTGTACGTACCGGTTGCGCGCGAGTAGAAACTTTGATTAGTTCTCATCTTGCAGCTTTGATGCAGAGAAATGTTCGTAAATTATATTGAGCAGTATGATAATATGACTTTATCCGCTATCGGAACAGCAATCCCCCCCCAGCAAAACCATGCTCGCGGGGATCGCGGACAGTTCAGACCACCCATGAGTTCAGTGACAAGCATAGAGCCGTATCATGCGTGCAAACAGGCCCCCAAAAAACCATGGATCCAAACAAAGAGCAGAGCCGGCGAAAGAAACAACAAATCATCAGTAATTAATAACCCCATTCAAAATCCAGACCTGCCCATTCGAAGCCTCGTTCATCCGCTCCTCAACCTCGATACCGTCGGGGAAGATCTGCAACCTACTATTAGCCACCCCCTACCCATCAAACAATCAGGCAAGAGAGAGCGAGAGAAACACGCACCTTCTTAACGCCCCCCTCCCACGCCCACCACACCACCCTCCCAGCCAAAGTCTCCACCTTAATCCCCTCGGCCCAAGGATTCTCCGCGATACAATGCGCCTCGACAAACCTCCTCAGATTCTTTCCGGCCCGATCCTCCCCGCCCAGGCCCTTATATAACTCGCTGAGCACGTTACCACCAGCACCCTCATCATCCGGACTCTCCCAGGGCTTCCGCGGCAGCTTCGAGATGGCGTAGTTCGTGGGCGCGAGGACGGTGGTGTTGGTTTCGCGGTCGGAGACGCGGGTCGAGATTGATTCGACGGAGCGGGTAAACCCACTGAAGACTGAGATAGATTTGTCCAGTGGGAGGACGTCGGCTAGGAGTGGGGAGCCGGCGGGTGTGCCGGTTGTTGTGCTGGTGGACATGCTATTTTGATGCTGGTCTGGCGGGTGGTCCTGCGGTTGTCGGTTGGAGGGGTAGAGGAGTGGGTGGAGGAGCTGGGATGTGGTTGTCGCTGCGAGTGTTAGGAGGAGGAGGGGGAGCTTCATTGTTTTCCCTGGTGGTAGTGGGCGAGTGGGTCTGGTGAAGTGGAGTTTTCTTCTTGGGTGGATGGGATCTGATCTTTTGTTGAACAGGTATGACTGGTGCTGGGGTGTGACGTACGGGTGGGCAGCTTGCGGTTTTGGGCCGGGTAAACTTGGCCAGCTTGCTTAACGGTGGCTGACGGTGGAGGTGAGCATCTGGCATTAACTGGTCCCTTGATCCGCGAGGAAGAGGGAAAAAGCGCCAAGCCCAGAGCCAGAGAAGGAGAGAGTGTCGCTGGTTATTATCGGAAGGAGCCACTGCAAACGGGCCCTGAAAACACCGGCAAGTTCTCGTTGAGGACTTTCCACCTTTGATATGCCGGACTTCTGGAAGGTCAGTTGATCAGCCGCAGGGCTAGGGCTCATACCAACCTCTTCCTGTTTCGATGAACCAACCGCCACACGAACGGAACGAGAAAAAGAAATTCCCTCACCGCCCCACCATCCACCGTACCGCTACATCCGCCCCGCCATCACAACCTACCAGAAGCCAAAAAATGCGAATCCCACTATCGAGGACGCTCCCGGGTCTCTCGCGGCTGCCACCGCTCCTACGCCGCCCGCCACTACCAAAATCCCACCTCAGCCAATCCTCAAGGCGAACCTACACAGCCCCGGTCCTCGCCAAACCCACTAAATTCACACCACCCTCCCATCCCCCGTCTCCACCCCACGGCCGGGACCCTATAAATTACCCTGGTCCCCCAACCCACCGAGACCCAGCGAAACGCTACCCAAACACCATGCCGCCGCCAAACACATGGTCGTACTACTTCCTCACCTCGCGAGTCCTGCACTTCTATATTTCCATCTCCGTCCTGGTGGTCCTGGGGGCCTGGGCTGCTGTGATGAACTTCCTCCGTGCGACTGAACGGGGGAGGGAGCTTGAGGGCGAATTATCATGGAGTCAGCCGCTTGATTCCGTGAAGCGGTTCATAGCGGCGTATAGGTTGCACGCGCACGAGCGGACTTTGTTGGTTGCGGAGGTAAGGAGGAGAAAGGCTGAGGATGCCGATAAGAGGAGGGTGTATAGGCGGGCGCATGGGCTGGAGCGGGCGAGGGAAGGGAGGTTTGGCGGGCGGGAGGTTGGGCCCGGAGCGGAGCCGGAAAAAGGGAGTATAATTCGGAGGGCGCTCGATACGGTTACGGGAGTGAAGGGGAACCCTACTAGCGGGGAGGGGGGCTGGGTGGAGGAGGAGATTCGGAGGGCTGAGGAGGAGGTGGAGGTGGCTGTTGCTGCTGGAATTGCGGCTGGGACAGGGGCTGCTGAAGAGGCTGTGGCCGCGCCTACTAAGGAGGTTAAAGAGGAGAAAAAGAAAGGGTCTTGGTGGTCGAGGGGTTGAACTATCGAATGCTGGGTGCGGTAGGACTGGTGCATGTGCGTAGCCCTTCCTGTAAATTATTTGCTGCTATGGTATGATGGATCAATAAGTAGTGGGTTGTAAGTATAGACAAGAGGTACAAATTTCCCCAAGGCATCAAGGTAGTATAAAAACTGGGCAGATCAATGGCCTGAACAGACGATTTCTGGCAGCACTGCGAAGAGTCGACAACCACTGAACGTCTAGAAACGACGATGATTCAGCGAGCCCTCCATCCTCTTCTCGAGTTGAGTCACCGACTCGTCCGGGCCTAACTGATCGAGCGACAGATCTACTTCTGGGACAGTGCCCGTACACCGCACCCCTCACAACCACCAAAGCATTTGCCGCACCCCTTCGACCTAGAATGCCTACGCTCTTCGGCGGGTCAAATGTGATTCGCACAGCTCTCGCAACTCGCTACCATCTCGCGCTCAACCTGCTGGATGGAGGCCTGTACGAAGAGGCCCCCGGTAGACGGAATAAAGGAAGTCTTAATGCCCGGGGGCCACCAATAGACAACGCAGAGCGAAGCCGATTCCAGTAGGGCAATCAATAAAATATGGCGACGTCTCAATTGCTTGCTCGCTTTCCTCAACCCGTGGGGCAAAACTCTCCGGTATCACAATCCACAACACCTCGCATGATTTCATGCAAGCCCGTAAACACTGTTACATCTCTAATAGCACTTGGACCAAGCGCTGCTCAGAGTGAGGGGAAGTATCTCTCTCCGAAAAGGGAATCGGAATAGGAGAACATCACGGCTCGACTCAGAATCCTGTAGCTCCACTCCAACCTCGCTAAGCACAAGTGATCACTCGCTCACCGTCGGGTCTGCGACGCTGGAGGTACTATGTTTTAATACGGAGGATTTGCCATATTTTGTTATGGTGTGTTCCGTGAGCGAGCAGAGCAGCCGGGGTGGGGGTTCGGTGCCTGGAAAAGACAGTGCAAGTGGTGTGTAATACAGTTCTAACTGCACAGTAGAGTATGTTGGCCTACCCATTCCTCTCAGTCCAGTGTCCAATGGTTGTACTTTTAGTGTTTCGTAAGCTAGAACTTATTTCTGCAGTTGGGGGATGAGGTTTGATATGAGGCGCATGGTGCAGAATAGGGGGGGGGGGTACTATTGCTTAGGTTGTTTGGTGGATTCTCTTTTCTTTCGTATGGTAGTACGCGGGCGGTTCTTTGCCTTTGTTGCATTACCTCCGAATCTACAATGATTCCAAGCACAGCTAATATCTGGACAGTGTTTCTAGGGGAGCTCTTGGTTTTTGGGATCTGTAGGCTATAGTTCCAGAACACACAGCATCACCCCACTCGCTTTAAAAAGAAAAATGTTATTTATTCAAGCAGGTACTTTTAAAATACATAGGCATCCCTATTCCGCCATCCTTGTTTGTTGCTTTAGGCCGATGCCTTCTTACACCCTCTCCCGTTTCCGCTGCGGCCACCACGGGTGCCGTCTCTGCCCCCCTGTTTGGGGCTTTTGCACCTTCTTTGGGCTTCAGGTTGGGGACTCAACCTTGATAAAAACTTGATCTGCAGCAGGCTCTCCCTCCTCCTCCACAGATTTCTGCTTCAACTCGGTTTTGCGCATGCTACAGCGTTCAGGGCCTTGGGGTACCTCTCGAGGATTCTCGGTGCGAGAGGCTTTCGTGACTTTGTCGGTGGTAGTGGTAGTGGTGAAACTCTGGTATTCTGCCTCCTCCTCTATTTTAACCTTAACCTTTGGCACAATCTTGCTCTTCGAACCCTCCGCAACAGTCTTTTTTGTAACTCCCGCCCCAGGCCTCGGCTTCAGAATTGGGGACACAATCTTGATGGTTGCCTCCTCTTCCTCCTCCATCTTAACCTTAACCTTTGGCACAATTCCACTCTTCGACTTCTTTGCGACAGTCTTCTTCGTAACTCTTGAGGTAGGCCTCGGCTTCGTAATTGGGGACTCAACCTTGATGGTAACCTCTTCTTCCTCCTCTATCTTAACCTTGGCTTTAGCCTTTGCCGCAATCCTGCTCTTCGGACCCCGCACACCTCTCTTCTTCGTAACATTCGCACCAGGCCTGGGCTTCGGAGTCGGGGACGCGACAATGATGGTAACCTCCTCTTCCTCCTCCATCTTAGCATTAGCTTTGGCCTTCGCCGCAGTCCCACTCTTTGAACTCATCGCAATAGTCTTCGTAACTCGATTGGCAGCCCTCGGCTTCAGAATTGGGGACTCGACCTTGATGGTAGCCTCCGCAGGTCCCTTCCTCCCCTTCTTCACTCCCACTTTGGTCTTAGTCTTAGTCTTCAGCACAATCTGATCTCTCAACACTTCAACAACCTTCTCCTCGACTGGAGTGGCCACAGCAGGCCTTCCATCATTCTGCACGGTAGAAGTAACAACGGACTTGTCCTTCTCAGACTTCTTCTTATTCAACTCGATGATGCGCATGCTGCGGCGTTGAGGGCCTTGGGGTGCCTTGCGAGGGGTCCTGGAGCGGGTGGTGAGGGTTCCAGAATTATCTCTGAGGATAGTGGCGTTGTGCATATCGGTATTCATGGTGGATGATCGGTGCCGGGGAATTGATATAATGAATCGAGAGGATTTTGTGCTTCGGTGAAGGAGATGGGTGATCAGTGAAATCTGTGGATGTGCGTGAATATTGAAGAGGAAGAATTGGGGAAAGGCAAGTCTTTTATACTGTAGGATTCGGCATAAAGGATGAGTACAATGGGAACCTGCGAATGTTGAGATTGTGAATGGTTAATTGAGCGTGTACTTGAAGCCTGAGCTTTCCCATTGACCTACGATACCCAACTGTGCCATAAGTGAATATTCCCATTATGCTTCTTTCGATAACTTCACCAGTTATGCATCCCATTGAACTTGAGCTCTGGTGTTGCCCGCCCCCGAATTGGCTTACAGAAGCCATTGAGGTTGGTATCATACAGCGTGTACGAGCGTGAATGAGGGAATCTGCACAGAGAGGTCTTAAACCCTATTGGGCCCTGTTTTCTTTAATTCTTTTTTATACAAAAAAACTATAATATTGAGTTTTCAGCTCTACAGGCTTCTAAGGGTCACGGGGGGAAGACACGGAAAGCTAGTGAGGAGGAAGGTTTGCCATTCATGCTTGTAACATCGTACTTAGATATTGATCTCCATCTATTAATAACGGTGGGTGGCCTTCCAAGTGTAACGAAATTGCAATCATATGACCAGTGCTTTGTTGGTCTATCATATAACGATGGGCGTGCGTGCTGTCTCGATTATCTAATAAGACCGCTACCTGATGCCTGCAATGCTGACGTAATCGTATACTCTCTTGATTGCTGAAAGTGTGATGTATCTGATTCGATATCTTGCTCCTGTCCTCATGTCCAACGCCCATGCAAATACACCTGGTGTTGTTAAAGACGGAAGGAGGAGAAAATCAGAAGCAATAGACACCAGGGACTTGATGGGAGATGTAGGAGAATTCTTCCTACCCTATCTCGGCATTGCTGCAAACTTGGTTTCATTGGGCTAAAGGCCGTTATGATAGACTTGTACTCTCCTAAAATTCAATCTTGGGGATATTTACCTTGTCCGATACAGGAAACGAAGGAACAATGATTTTGCATGCGGGAATTTCCGGGGACGTCACATGGTCTGCTCATTTTTTCCAAGTGATTATACAACCTCTGGGCCAATAGCAGCCGTGTTATTTAACCCTTTGCTAGAGATCCTCATAAATACCAGAAAGTGTAACTAGTAAAACCAATATATAATCATCCTTTTGAAATATCCGGGATTCTATGAAAACTCCCCTCTAGAAACAGGATAAAAAGTTCCAGCAACAGCATATGGCAATGCTACCCTTGTGACATAAATCAATGGTTTCACCCACTTCTCATTCTCAGGTAATAATCCTGCACCTCAAGATACCTCTCGGCCCCGGGCGAGCACTTATCATACCAGTGGCAGCCCCCTCCCCCCCCCCCCCGAATCCAAAACTACACCCCAAGAGAAGAATACACCAGCCAAATCCGTGAAATCAGAGAGCACCTCGGGATATAACTTAATAAACTGTTGGTCTTCACAAACCGGTAGAGCACTTTCCGCCTGGATCGCTACTGCTTCCATTTCTTGTTCTTGTTGTTGGAGTTGCAGGTAGGGCTGGGGCTACTGGAGAGGCAAGCCTCAGGTTTAGTGTATTGGATAAGGACCAGCCCGGAGAGCCTCCCGATAGGCAGAAGAGAGGAATTCTTGCTCTTGAGAGGGTGGGGGCATCAACGGGTAATGTAGAATGAATTTAGTTCTAATGCGAGTAGTAAAATATGGTGATATCTCGCTTGTCTCAATCCATGGGGCAACACTTCCCTGCATCACAATCACCTACAGCATCTCTAACTATTTCATGTGAACTGCTATGAGCACTGTTACATCCCCAACAGCACCCAAACGCTGTTCAGAATAAGGGGAAACTTTTCTCTCTAAAGGGGAGGGAAAGGGGAACATCATAACTCTACTTGGAATCTGGCACGCGCATCCGAACCTCACAGAATCACAACCGATCACTCGCTTACCGTTGAGTCTTCGATGTTGAAAACATGAGAATGATTTCATATGCGAGCCATAAGCATTCATGTGTATATGTAAGTGCTTACACATCTTTCATGTCCTTGTTGTGTGTTGCTCTCTGAAGTTTGTTTTCTCCTGTTCTTTTTCTTTTACCTGACCAACCAACACACCCAATTCCTCCTGATCCTTGCTTGCTGTTTCCTCTACTCTGCACAGTCAACAAACCTACCACCTTATTTTCTTTCTCTTGACTCCACTCTCTGTATACAAGAAAAATACTTTTCTCTCTTTGGCATTTACTCCCTTCGGTTCCGTAAAACCTTCGTCAATTTAACCGCAATTTCCAACATTCGACGAGCAGCTCGCTGAGTTTGGGTACGGGGAATTTGCCTTATTGTGTTATGGTGTGTTCCGTGAACGAGCAGAGTAGCTA